GACGATGTTGGATTAGTAATAAGAACTGGTAAGTTACTAGTGTCCTCAACAGTGAATACCCGTGCAAAACTATCATTGAACTCATTTACTATATCAATGTTGTTTTCAATTAAAAGACCCTTACTATCCTGCAGATTAGTAATTTCAGCTTTTAGAGCTCTTTTAGAGTTAAAATACTGGAAGAAACTTTTAACGTCATCCTTAGCCTCCAGTGCGATCTTCCTTTCGACATTCCTTTTAGCTCGTCTAATGTCATTTTTTAACTCAGCCTGTAGATTTAGATACTCTTGCTTTATTCTGTCATCCTGGTGGGTATTCCATGAAGCAGGCTTAAGGGAAAGTCTGATTTATTTCGACAAGTCAGTCTTAATTAAGTGAGAGTTCCGTTCCATCAACGTGTCTTATAAATTAATCCCCACTGAATTACCTATGGTTTCGGGAAACACCTGCGTCGTACTTACATAGTTCGAACCACGCAAGTTAGCAACTATGGTTTTGGGAAGTGCACCCTTGGTCCGGAGCAGACTTGTTCGCAGGTGTAAATTACCATGGTAATTCAATGGGGGATTCATTTAAGACACGTTGATGGAACGGAACTCTCACTTAAATAAGACAGACATCGAAATAAGCGAGACTTTCCCTTAATCCTGCTTCGTGGAATACCCCTCCACCCCCCCGAACTTTTTGTAATTAGTCTTTATTTTTCCTATTTTGCTTTATGACCCCATTGAGGTCTCTATTGTTAATAAACCCCTGTGTTCCCTGAGCCACAAGTGGTTCATCCACCTTCTTCCCAGCCTGCATGTTGCTCCACCCCATACCAGACCCACCCGAGTCCCTGACAGCAACCAGTGTATCCCTGATATTTAGAGTGGGGCAAGAACAACTTTTTTTGATTGCATCTCCATATTTCTGCATCGGAAAATTTGATCGATAACCAATATACTTTTGTCTGGTATATCACCGGTGTTGGCCGTGAAACTTGCCAGGTTGCCAGCGCGTTACGTTGTTTTTTGTGGAGACTGAAAGATTGATCTGCTGGGCAAATTTAAGTAGGCAATAAAACACAAGGAGTTGTGTTAAGTAAAAACATTAGAAGTTTGCCCATATTGACTTATATTTTTTATTTATTTTTATTTTTTAACCCTAATCCCACTCTTTTTCCCTAAACTGCAAGGTGTGAATGGAACATTATCTAGTTGTAGTTTTTGCATTTTTTTGCACAAATTATCTTTTGTGGATTAAGAACGATAATAGCTTTTTATCACTGGACATTTTCGGAGGTACAAACAATGAAGTTACCATATTTTGAGAGGTGGGTGCTTTGCTATGCATGTCGTCTGC